CCCCTGCCCATGCCATCTTAAAGTGAAGGGTTCTCCAGAGTGTTTCCCCACTCCCCCATTAGCAGAAATTAGGAGATTTCTACCATAATTAACTGCAGATTGTTGGACTTTCTTGCTCTCCGTTGCTGGGAACATAAAAACACATTTGTCTTTTTAAGTTGTTGCTTGGCTTATTAGGTCAGTTTCCTGAAATGAGAAGGTTTGTTCAGAACGCTGGGTGAGAAGGCGGCAAGGGTTCTGTCCCTGCATGCTGCAGCAGGGATCACTGGCAAACTGGAACGGCCCCACCACTCTCCTGTCGCTTTGACACTCCAGCAGCATCAGAGAGCTGAGGAGGAAGGATTCTGTTACAGATTGGAAAGAACATTCAGCATACACGCAAAACTTGTAATTTATAATTCTCATAAAAATTATCCTCAAAAAAATAAATAAGCAAAACGGGTTGGGAATGTAGCTTAGTTGTTAGAGTGCTTGCTAGCATGCACAAGGTCCCGAGTCCGATCTTCAGCACCACATGATGGTGTATTTGTGTGTGCCTATAAATCTTAGCGCTCAGATGGAGGCAAGAGGATCAGAAGTTCACACCTGTCCTTGGCTATGTTGCATGTTCAAGGCCAGCCTGCAACACATTCGATCTTGTCTTTCATATTATGTGTGTGTGTATGTATAAGTCCTATAACATTTTTTATGTTTTTTAAAGTTTGATCTGCAGCCACACATTAGTGGAAGACATTTAATAAATAGTTTTAAAAAGCAGCTCTGATTACGTCACAGCAGAAGAGCTGTGCTTATGGACTTCTCTCTACAGGATGTGGAACTTCTTTTCCCCTGCCTTCAAAACTCAGGTTGAAGTGACTTTGGAAAGCTTAGGATGTAAGAGGCATCAGAAGAGGAGTTGGAAGGCCTGGCTCAGCACAGCTGTCTGTGCCAGCTGTGCAGCTGTTCACTGGCTGCATCGCTGCCTCCTGCCCATTAATACGTTACAGAAACTTCTGCTTCAGCACACTGATGCACTCGTTTATTACGGCCATCTTTGGACATTTAACATGTTCGTGTGCTGTATGGCGCTAGGCTACCTGTGCCGCCCTAACATATTTGTTCATATACTGTTCTTTTTCAGATTGTAGCTTTTTCTAATGAAACGCCTGGTGCGACACCAGCATTCTGTGTCTGTGCCCTTTTAGAACTGAATCTGCCCTCCCTCGAGTCAACTTCCCCAGGTCTGGAATTGGCTGCATGGTTAGGCAGACATAGCCTGGTGTGTGTTCGTTTCTCTCAGAGTTGCTAGAAGGTCTGGAGTCCCACTAAGGGGTAAGAGCCGAGGTGGCCTGAGGTGGCTGTATAAATTCATGTTTAGAACCCTGAAGAAGCTGACGGAGACTCAGACTCTGAGACTTCTTCTCCAAGGACGGGGGAGTTTGGCAAATGAACAAGTGTGTCTGGTTTCCTAGCTGTGAAATACAGTCTGGGACACAGACATAGCAGACTGTGTGAAACGCCAGTGCGTGACCTTGGCTAACTCTCTTACTTTTGAGGGCTTTAGGATGTTTATGCAGTGAAGGGTTAGGCTGAGAGAATGCTGAGTGGTCAAGTCTCCCGGTTATTGCTTTGTGGGCCAGGGTTCTGGACCATGCTAGACTTGCTCGGTTTCCTTTGGCTTATTTGGTTGAGACCATGGTGCCTAATCGAAGATGATGACTGGAACCAGGCCTAAGAGAGCTGGCTGTAAAAGGCTTCATCAAGACACAGTGGGCCGCTGGTCCAGGCGCTGCTGAATAATGAGTCCTTGGATATGGGGAGCCTTGTGGGGTGGGTTCAGCAGAGCTCTGAAACTTTGCCTGAGAAGGCTGCGAGGCTAGGGGAACGGTGTGCTGAGGGAAGTCTGTTGCTAACCAAGAGCGGTTTTGTCCACTGAAACTCCAGTGCACTTGGGATTCCCCCTTGGAGCCCAGCTTCTTCAATTGTAGCTTGTGACCCTGTATGAGATGACGTGACTAGATAGGGAAGTAGTGGAAAGTGTAGATGGCAGTACGGCTCCTGGATGTGCAGTAACCAAGAAGGAATTCAGAGTCAAAACGGAAGAAAGCCAAGGAGTCGGGCAGCGCTCCCTGAGCTGCATCCCCGCAGCTTTGGCCCCGAGAGCACAGTGTGTGCTTCGTACATGTCGCCATGTCACACGCTGCCAGTGGATGCTGCCCGGGATGCCTCGGCTCCCGCCAGAGGCTGTTCTACATTATGAATTTCAGTGTTTTTGCTGTACACGTGAAGTTGTCTCCTCTCATGGAAACAGATTAGTCATCCCTTCTCAGGGAAGTATCAAATCAGTATATCTTTGGATCATATTGTGTTAGGAGTTTTTATTTTAAATATCGCCGCTTAAGATACGACTTAGGTTTCCCAAAAAAGTGTTCACTAAGTGTTGGCTTGGAATTTAGACAGAACTCCCAACTATTTCTGAAATGGCTCTAAACATATTTCTGACACTTTTGTAGCAGTCATTTATATGAAGTAGTGTTCTTAGCACTGACAGTTATTAAATCAAAGTATTGATCAGTTCTGAAAAAAAATTGAAGATGCTATGTGCCCTATACTCTCCAGTATTTAATTCCTGATGTAAAACAAATCAGTACATCTATCTCATTAGTATGCACATTTGTTCTGATTGTTGATAAGTTTTAAAGGTATATGTATACTAAAGAGATGTTTTTTAAAATAAATTGGTTTATGAGTTCTTGTCAGTAAATGTTTGGTCTGTACTTCCCATATCCTGGGGGAGGTGTAAACATGCCTTGGGTGAAAAGGGATCCTTAATGGAAGATTTAGGCAGGTGACTGAAAAGCACAGGGAGTCAGGTCCTAGCAATCCAGCAGCTTATCGGAGTGGAGTCTTGGCATGTGGAGGGCAGCGTGCTGCTGGAGTTAGTGGTTGAAGGCGTGGTCTCTGAAATTGAATGCTTTTTACAACTCTCAGTTTCTATTTATCCATTTAGATTGGTTTAGCCCTACAAACCTTGAATTTGAGATCCCACCCAAGCTATAGGCATGTGCCACCCCACCAGGTTGCCTCTGCCATTTTGATTGTGGGGCTCAGAGTGAGTTTCTAGCTGGATGTCCTAGAGATGGGTACTTTTATGTGCTCTTGTATCCATCTCTGAAAAGGGGGCTAATATTGGCTTCTACTGTAGAGGGCTGAAAAGAACAGTATAGACTTAGAACAATGGCAGGCAGGGAAAGAACAGGATAGACTGAGAACAATGGCAGGCAGGGGAAGAACAGGACAAACTGAGAACAATGGCAGGCACAGATAGGTGAGCCACAGATGTTAGTTATGTATTTTCTGTGCTACTTTACCTTTGCCATTTCACATTAAGTTGTTAGAATTATATTCCAGAACAAGTCTTTATATGGTCCATAGATTGTACCATTTAGCCTTGTGGTAATTATTATAGTTAATAAATACAAAGTGAAGGGGAGGAACACAAGTGAAATATTTATGTCTGAGCATTCAAGGAATTGACTTGACTTTAAAATTGTATCTGATTGGCAGTAATGGGGGTGAAGTGCAGTATTCTGTAGTATGATTATTATTCACATGGTTTACTGAATTGTGTCACTGTTGATGATCAATTGTCCTGGTGTGTCTGGGGCTCTGATGGAATGTGTGAATTTTAGTGCTGAAACCAGACAAATCAAGACGAGACGTCCCCACGCTCTGAGTTTCCGTGTGTTGGGATATTAAAGGAGGTGGTGTGAGCATGTTTGAGGCCCCTTTGAAGAGCTTTTACACCTGGGCCCTTAGGCATTAGTTTCTTTCCATCTCAGCTAACTAGTGATTAAAGTGAGAATAGAGATATTTCTCTCATAGGGACAGTTTAATAATCCAATACACGTTTGGTGCATTAAGTCTCTAGCACAGTACCAGGTACACACTAAGCTCTTGATGAAGTTCTTTAATGTTCACCGTGGAGGCCGTTTGGAGTCCACATGTGCAGTGGTCAAGTTGGAATGATAGCTGCCCACTGAAGCTCTGGCTCCTGTAGCTTTGTTCAGTCTTGTCTTAGAAGCATCTTCCCAAGTCCCCATGGAAGGGGATTGCGTGTCTGCATAGCTGAAAACATGTCTTCAATTTTTATTTCAGGTAATGAGGAGTACCTGATTAATCTGATAGACTCTCCTGGACATGTGGATTTCTCCTCAGAAGTATCAACAGCGGTTCGCATTTGTGATGGATGCATCATTGTGGTGGATGCTGTGGAGGGAGTCTGTCCACAGGTGAGGTCTATGGTCCAAAATGGTCTTAAATTTGACTGCTGGGGGGTATGGGGGTGAGATGGGGGTGGGGAATAGAAGAGGAGACACTCTTGATTGCTGTGCGCCCTTGACAGACGGTGGGTTTTATATTTCACATCTGGCAATGGTGCAGTCTGTGATGAAGTTTGTCCCAGAGTCTTAACAAGATGGTAAGAGATAGCAGCCATGTGTGGATAGACATGTCTGTGGTATCTTTTTAGAAGAAAGACTCGCAAAGGTGGGAGAATGTTGAGTTTGAGAGGGATCTGGAGGCTCGACTCCACCGGGAAAGGTTTCCAAGTCATAGCAGGCTGTTGATAGCATGATCTGGAGCTAGCTTTCTCCTAGGGACAGTTCTCTTCTGCTGGAGTCTCAGGACACATGTGCACGCGTGCGTGCGTGTGTGCGTGCGTGCGTGCGTGTGTGCGTGCATCCTTCCTACTTAAGGAATTTTTCTGCTACTCGTCTACTTCCTTAACCCAGTGTTGCTGTTCTCAGCAAAGCTGCAAGAATTCACCATTAGGGCCAGGTCACTGTGTGGCTCTTGTGGCAGTAGCCCTCAGACAGGCTAGTTTATTTCTCATAACGTTTTTTTTTAACTTTCATCTCATCTTAAAAAACAAACAAGCAAACAAAAACCGAAAATCCAAAGTCAATTTTGAATTCTCCTTAGTATATATGTGTTCTTTTAATGCTTAAAAAGGAAGAACAATGAAAGGTTTAATTCTTCAAATGGAGGAAGTTTAATACTCCAGGAAGATGTGCTCTGATTATCGTATGCTCCTGTGTATGTTCCCCCGAAGCCACAGGGCTCTCAACTTGAGAAGCACAGCCTTATCCTGTGTGGTGTCTGTGCCATCTGACGGGATGGGTGAAGTGGAGATAGCTGGCTAGGATAGCAGACTAGTGGTCCTGTGGAGAACCTAAGGATCAAGGGGGGCGAGTCCCTTCTGGGACTGCTGTGCTTCTGACCTGTATGTTAGAGTGGTGGGCGTTTGTTTTATAATTCTTTAAATTTGTGTGTGTGTGTGTGTGTGTGTGTGTGTGTGTGTGTGTGTGTGTGTGTTTAGAGAGCCTGGTAATCATGTATGTACGTGTAGTTTAGTCTGGGTTGTTGTAATATAGCCTCAGAATGTGTTGATTATTAATTGAGATTTTCTTACGTGCCTTAGTCTTTGCAGATCATGAGGGGTTTTTTCCTTTGTTTTTATCAGACACAGGCAGTTCTGCGACAAGCCTGGCTTGAAAACATCCGTCCTGTTTTAGTGATTAATAAGATAGATCGCCTGATAGTGGAGCTAAAATTCAGCCCACAAGAGGCCTACTCTCACCTGAAGAATATCTTAGAACAGGTATAGTATTCTTCGGTACTTTAAAAATGGGCTGAAAGGCTGTAAGAAAGAGTGGAAAGTGAGGGGAAATACATTTACTTGAAAGTTTATCACTTAAGATTCCTGTCTATTAGGGGAAGTACATTTACTTGAAAGTTTATCACTTAAGATTCCTGTCTATTGGAGTCACCAACTATGCAGAAGGAACAGAACTAGTGTGCTCTTGGGAGTTGCCTCTGCTTCCCAGAACCTCTCGGTGTCAGTCTTGGACTATAGGTTCTCGTATTTAAAGTTCTGTAGTTTGGTTCTGAAGTGAAATGATGTTAAGAGGCTGTATGTTGCTTTTATTTTTAGATGAAGATTTGTTTAGACCTTGATTTGTTTATTTAGCAAACATTTGTGTAGATATATGCAGTACCAAATGCCCATCGTATGTGAAGGGTGATAAGTACAGGATGGACACACCAGAGTCTCTGTTTTAAACTCCCAGTGTAGTGAGTGAAACGGACAGGTGAGACGTTTGAGGGCAACCAGGTACCCCCTTGTGATTTCAGAGCACAGAAGGGAGCTATTCAACCCAGTCTGAGCCAGAAAGGAGAAGACAGTCTCACAGTGAGACCGTGAGATGGAAGTCAAGTTGAAAGTTAGAGGAAGAACATTTACAGGAGACAAAATTAATTGTGCAAAGTCATGGAGCCAGATAAAATCTGGGCAGTGTTTCCATCAAGAAAAGTGTTTGTTATAGCCGAAGAATTGAGAGATCGTGATACGAAGTGATAAGAAATGAGACCTGGAAGGGAAACAAAAAACAATGTAAGCCTTGCATTTTAGTGAGGCTTATGTCATCCAGAGGAATTTAAGCTTCTTGAAGATCAGCATGGATACATTTCTTTGCTAAAGAGAGAGAAGACAAATGTAGGGCATTGACAGGGCCGGGGTGGCCAGTCTAGCTCCTAACACAATAGGAAGAGCTGAAGACGTTTCCTGCCTTGCAGAAACACTGAGGGAATGTGCTCGCCAGGATGAGAAGCACAAGAAGAGCCAGCAGCATTTGTGGATGTGAGCAGGGTGGACGTTAGGATATGGGAAACTTGGAGGAATTCTGAGAGCAGGCTTCAGTTATCACTCTGCGGGAGGAAATAAGATTGCTCATTGGGATGAGATACTGGGAAGGAGGTTGAAGAGTGCTGGGAGCTTTAAACAGCTGCTACGGGAAAGAGGAGAAGGAGTGATTAAAGTGGGGGATTTGGACAGGATGAGTCTTTAGTGAAACTCCCCAGGATTAAAATAATCCACAAAGATGGCCCTTCAGAAGCCTTATTGGAAGCCTTAGGTTTGTTGGAATTTAAAAGAATAGGTTGATATGTGTAAGTTATTTGTTGATTATAATGTCACCCTAGTGAACTCAAGCTCTGACAGTGGTTCTAGCCTTAGTAAAGGTTAGACAGTGTGTTCCCTCCCATGTGTGTGCGAAGCAAATGAATGACACTTTGCCATTTCGTCATCTCTCCTAGATTAACGCACTTACAGGAACTCTTTTTACTTCTAAAGTCCTAGAAGAAAGAGCAGAGAGAGAGACAGAGTCCCAGGTGAAGACCCATTCTGAACAAGGAGATCAAGTGTATGACTGGAGCGCTGGCTTGGAGGACGCCGATGACTCTCAGCTGTACTTCTCTCCAGAGCAGGGCAATGTGGTGTTTACCAGTGCCATAGATGGCTGGGGCTTTGGGTAAGTCATTCTGCATCTCTGGCTCTTGGTAATTATAAACCATTGGTCTTTTAACGTAACTGTAATTTTATATCATTATGAGAAGTAATACAGTGTAGCTGAAGTTTTCCTGTGTGCCAGCAGCCAGGATAAATCTCTCCCACTTGTGTCCTCCAAGTAAACACACTGAGACTTATATTACTTATAAACTGTATGGCTGTGGCAGGCTTCTTGCTGTCTGTTCTTATATCTTAAATTTTAACCCATTTCTATAAATCTATAGCTTGCCACGTGGCTCGTGGCTTACCAGTATCTTACATCATGCTTCCCCTCATGGCAGTGGACAGCATCTCCCTGCCTCAGCCTTCCACCTCCCAGAATTCTCCTCTCTGCTTGTCCCGCCTACACTATACTTCCTGCTTGGCTACTGGCCAATCACCGTTTTATTTATCAGTCAATCAGAGCAACACATTCACAGCATCCCCAGCAATACAGAGTTATGTTGTACCCTCTGCTCAGTGTCCTGCAATGGCTCATGCTTACATTGTGAAAATGGTACTACTGTGTCACTTTTGGAACAGTAACATGGACACGGTCAAGCCAGAGAACATTGCGTCATCATGAAACTTCCACATAAATCCTGTGTAGCCACATCTGCTTTGCTCCAAGCCCTGTATAACCAAGACTGAAAACATTCATGTCTTTTATTCCTGTAATTTGCTATTTTACGAATGTTAGAGAAATTAAGTCTAAACAGTATGCTGTAGAAATGGAGCCAAATAACTTGTAGCCTTTTAAAATTTCTTTTTTACTCAGCATAATTTTCTAGATACTAATTCAATTTGTTGCACCTATTAAACTTTGAAATGCTTAGAACCAGAAGTGTTTCATAGTTAGGATTTTTTAAATATTGACATGTACATAAAGTATCTTGGGGGTGGGACTGAAGCCGCACTCCCATTCACTTATTATATTCACTTATATTATACACACGCACTCCCATTCACTTATTATATTCACTTATATTATACACATGGCCTGAAAGTAACTTTACCCAGCATCCTAAATGCACCCATGCATTGACTAAGGCTGAACATAAAAGGTCTTGGGGAATTTTCTGCCAATGATGCTGTGTTAGTACTTAACAATTTTTAGACTTTTGGATTTAGTGTGCTCAGCCCATAATAGTTGGTCTTTCTTTTCCCTCAGTAGTATCCTATTGTGTACATTTACCATAGTTTATCCATTTACCCACTAAAAAACATTTGGGTTTTTCCAGTTGGGGCCATTATAAGTATATATGTATGCCAGGCAAGCACTCTATCAACTAAGCTACATCCCAGGCAGTAAATTTAATTTGTAAAGGAATTACCAAGCAGCTTTCCGAAAGGCTTCTCCACTGTACATTCCCGCAGCGGTGCCTGTGTGGTCTGCTTCATGATTCAGTGCCGTCACTACTGTCATTGTTTTTATACGTTTCTTCCTGTCCATTTTGTCTGGTGTATTTCTGCAGCTGAGTTTTGAAAGCTCTTTGTAAATTGTAGGTATGGGGCCTTTGTCTGTCATGTGCTTTGAAAATATTTCTCCTTGTCTGTGGTCAGATTTTGCATCCTCCTGACTGTGTCTTTTACAGAGTAAAGATTTTAATTTAGGTGAATCAGTCTTAGTGTAAGTTTTTTATTGCTGTGAAAAGACACCATGACCACAACAACTCTCATAAAGAAAACATTTAATTGGGATGACTCGCTTACAGTTTTAGAGGTTCAGTCCATTATCATCATGGCAGGGAGCATGGCGGCATGCAGGCAGATGTGGGGCTGGCTACATCTTGACCAGAAGGCAGCAGGAAGTCGCCTGACTCTTTGGGCAGTATCCTGAGTATAGAAACTCAAAGCCTGTTCTCACAGTGACACACTTTGTCCAACAAGGCCATACTCACTCCAATAAAGCCACAGCTCCTAATAGTGCCAGTCCCTGAGATTATGGGGGGCCAATTACATTCAAATTACCACAATCAGCTTACCACTTTTTCTGAGTTTTACATTTTTTTAACTGTTTTTTTTTTTTTTTTTT